CCCCCCCCCCCCCGGACCGACCCCCCCCCCCCCCCCCACTCCCCCGTCTCCGGCGAGCGGCGAAGGGCGCCCGGGAGGGGAGGCTGGGTCCGGCCCGGCCCTCGGGAGAGAGCCGCGAAGATCCAGAAGGCGCCAGCTCGCTCCGGGCGCCCCCTCCGCCCACCGCCTGCTCCCTGTCCCCATCCCCTCGACGACCCCCGCCCCTGCCCCCACGGGCTGTTCGGGGCCGGATCCCGGCAGCGGCCTCCCCACAGCGAAAGGTAACGCGGTGCGGGGTTAGGGATGCCCAGGAGAACGGACGCAGAGAGAGGGGAGCCCCGGCAGCTCTCCCGGGCGCGGACGCCCGGCGGCCTGCAGGTCACGGGAGGGGGCTGTCACTCTAGCTCTCCGCGCCTCTTCTCTCGAACCAGGATGCTCCCCACCCCCCTTACCCTTTCTTCGGGCTTGGTTGTTTTGTTTCTTTTTTTTTCTTCTTTTATTTTTTTTCTTTTTCTTTTTCTTTTTCTTTTTTTTTTTTTTTTACTATTTTTATTTATTCGTGGAGCCTCTCGGCTCCTGGGGTCCTTCTAACTCCGCCCGCGCCCTTAATTTAAATCGCTGTATACTGTATTTATCGGGGCCCCGGAGGGGAGGCCGCGAGAGCCGCATCTGTGTATAAAAGCAGGAAATAGCCAAAGCTTTAATCTAGCCTAATTTATTTTCCCTTTCTCTTCCCCGCGCCTTCTTCCAAGAACGCAAAACAAACAAAAAAACTTAACAAAAAAATTTTTTTGAGTGTTCATTTTTCGTTTCGTTTCACCCGAGCCCTCCCTCGGCTCGGTTCCTGGCCTAGCGGAGAGGGTCTGCGCTCCCACGCACGCCCGGGTGGGAAGGGGCATCTCCACCCGCCAGATCGAGCACGCACCGCGGGCCGCTGCTTCCCCGCCGGGCCCTGCCCCTCCTGGCCTTAACGAACGAAACTTAAAAAAGTTGGAACTATTTTTTAACCAGCTGTAGAAATAAAACATTCTCCTAAGAACCTTCCGCCTGTTTCCCCCACAGCTTCCCCTGTTCTCTTTCGAGCCCCCCGCGGGATGCTGAGGGAACCCTGGAGATCGATTCTCCAAACTTGGGGTGAGGTGGGAACCATGTAAATATGTGAGCTATGTACACACTGGCGGGGGGGCAAGAAACATTTTGTGCTTTGGTTTTTATTTTTTGGTTTTCTGGGTTGTTCTTCCTCCCCACCCCTAAAGGGTTTTGTACACCCGACCCAACCGAAAAAGATATTTTAATATGGTTTCCTGATTTCCGACCCATCTCTATTTATTTTCTGGATGTGTTTGGGGCTTCCCCCTTGACTATTTCTTCATCTGTTTGTTAAGGTTTGAGCTTAAAATTTTGTTATTTTATTTTTTGTTATTTTTGAACAATGTTTTGGTGCATTCTCTTTGTATCTTTATCGCAAAAAAAAAATGATTAATAATGTAGACTGGGAAGTTCCCTTTATATTTATGTTATAGTAAATATTTTATTACTCACATAAACACGTACCCCAGGGCTGTGTCCTGTTCTCTTTACTGCTAGGGCTGGGCTTATTTTGCAGGAAGCCATGAGATTCCCTTGCCTGGTACCCTCTCCCGAAGCTCTAGACTCAGTGAAAGGCCACTACCAGCCTTCTTCCGGGTCAGTATCAGGACTGCCTGCCTGTTGCTTGGTCAACAGTTGGGCACCTGGCCCAGGTACACCAGTCTAGAGAAAATGAATCACATCCTGTTCCCATTGACTTTTAAGACCAGACCAGGGCCTAGGACAGTAAGCCATTGATAACACAACATGGCTGAACCTGGGCTCAGCCATGCATCCCCGTCATTAGCTCACTGTTCTCAGCCGAAGAGGCTCACCTCTTCCTTTATTCCTAGCCCTCACTGTTTTCCTCTTGCTTGACACCCCAACCCTTAACTTTGATTTTACCTTGCATTCCACTTACGGGGTCCAAGCCAAGTTTTTAGGTTATAGCGCAACTGGGAACCTACCTGGTCAGGCTCTTCCATCCTACCCCAACCGGCTCTCCATCCAAACAAATGGTACCCATGTCCCCCTAGATACACTAGGCATCTGGTGAACTCAGGTCCATTCAGTGGTCCTGCAGAACTAAGTCAGCTTGGGAGTCGTGCTTGTCTGCTCGGGCGAAGCTAGCTCTGCTTTGCAAACAGACTGCCAGTCCCAGCCACTCTTGAGAGAAGTAGGGGCATAGACTATGCTGTGGAAAAAGCTTGGCATATCTTCTGGGGTAGACACCCAAAAACCACACAGGGGGGAGAGCTGGTGGGAGGGAGGATGCAGGGCTGAGCAGCAGGACCTGAGGGGAAACATTCAGAAATGTTCTCAATTCTTGAGTAGCAGCCTCCCCTGAGAAGGTCCCGATGCTTGGAGCAGGTCTCAGTCCAGCTCAAAACCCAAGATGGCATCCCAGTCAAGACTTTTTTTTTTTTTTTTTTTTTTTTTGTCCTTTTAAAACAACTCTTACCATTTCTCCCATACACCATGGTTCTTTTTCCTTCTCAGGAGAAATATGAGGTTCTTCGTACTATGCGGAGCAAAGCAGCTTGAAGGCGCTGTGGCCTGTTTGGGGAGAAAGTTGATCCCTGGTGAAGGGGTATGTGGGGGGCCTGTGTGCCTGGGAAGCTGTCTGGGCCTTGGAGAGCACCTAACTGTAACTGGTGGACTGGTTGATGCCCAGAGACAGGTGTTTCAGGACCCCAAACTGCTGGTCCTTGGCTGGGCCGGGACAGTGGGATAACTGCCACGTTGATGGGTGCTGCTGACTTTGCCACCCCTCGAGCTTAGAGGGAGCACAAAGGCTCCTGGATTTTTCAAAACCTCAGCTCCTTCTCTCTGCTCCTTTTAATTTTTTTTTTTTTTTCTCTTTAGTTCAACTTAGTTCATGGCTAGCCTGTGATGGGCACCAGAGTCCCTGCTGTTCCTCCTGTCACTACTGAACCTCATTGTGCTTCTTAAGGAGACAGACTTGTGGGCCAGCAGGGAGATGGCACCGGAGCCCCTGGCCACCCTCCCTCGGCCTCTCATTTCATGCTCCATTAAATAAAAAACTCTGAAGCCTTCTCATACTCCTGAGTTCTCCACCTCTAGGTTTGTCTCTGCCTTTGGGGGGGGGGGGGCTCCCAAAATGGAAGTAAATGAAACTTCCCAGTCCCTGCCAGCCTCTGCAGGTTTTGAAATTGGAAGGGCCTCGAGGAAGACGGGCCTTTCACTGGCCTCTTGCCTACAGCTGACACCAATTGATTGATTGATTTCCTAATTGTCTGCTTAATCTTGTACAAGAGGGTGGGCTTATTATTTAAGCAAGTCAACTCAAAAATAGCAAAACAATGTAGCCTCCCAAGAGCCAGCGGCAGCTGAGGAGCAGAACAAAAAGAGAGAGGGAAAGGTGGGAAAGGGGGTGGGAGAAAATCTTGCACTGCAAGGATTTTGCTTAATGAGACACCAGACTGGGATAACACCCCTTCGGAGCAGAAGGCCCTAAGGCTTCTTCCTCCACACTCCTGCTCCAGACAACCTCAGAACCTAGAGTCCTAACCTCTTGACAAAACAGTTTAAGAAAGGCACATCAGTTGTGGGCTCCTGTATTTCCCATATGCAGGTCTCCCCGCTTACACCAGCATTCTGCGGGCCTCCGTTTGTCCAGGAGAGGCATCCCTAACATTCGCCCCCAACGAAACACAACTTTCCACTGCAAGCCTGGAATTACTGAAGCCACCTCTCACCCTTTACACTCAAACGAAGTTATTTCCCATTATCGTGGAGCCACGGGTCGGCACCTACCTGCTGATATTTGTGTATTCTGCTGCCTGTGTGGCTGGTGCCAAGAGCCACATGGTACCGGGGGAATCCATATTATTACTGAGAATCTGACCTAGAGCGCGTTTTCGAAGGCTAAGGGGCTGTTAACACTGGAAAGAAGGAAGGTGGCCACTGTGGTCATCAAGGCAAATCCAGAAGGTACCCTGCCCTGAGCACCAAGCACATTGATATTATCCTTCCCTGGGTTGCACAGGCTTCTGTGTGGCCTGGTACAAATGCCAAGCAAGTGTCCCTTGCCCCTAGAATTCAACTGAGTGTCCACAGGTCCACCTGACTCCTAGCCATGGCTGCCCACTCGGAGCTCCTTGGAAGTTCCTACACAGGCTCTAAGGGGAGATGAGTCAACATGACCCACCCAGCCTTCTTCCTTTCTGAACTTTCCACAGCACGATTTGAGCTCCAGAACAGAGTTGCTTAGGCAGAGGGGAAAGTGGGACAGGGTTATCGAGCCCAGCTACGCCCATAAGTTTAGCCAAGGGGCTCTTCCCAGGGTCTCGGGTTAGAGACTACTGCCAGAGGCAGCTTTGAGTTTTGTCCCCGCCTATCATCTGTGAAGGCCCTAGAGTTAGTGTTTGCCAGGTCGGCCGGGGCTTCCCCAGTGCTGCGCAGGACTCTGTGTGGGAGGACTGCCCTCTATTGGTCCCTATGCTGGGACACGACACCAGTCACCAGAACGGCCTAATTCTTGAGCCTGCCCTTCTCCCCAAGCCAGCCTCAATGTGCTGACTCTAGGCTTTGCCAGCAAGAGGTGGCTTCGGGCCCCCAAGGAAGAAATCCCACTTCACACAGAGACACAGATAGGCTTGTCTGTGACCCTTCCCTTCCCATCTACCACCTGCCCACTCTCACAGCCACACTCAGAAGCCCACTACCACATGCTGCTCTTCCATCTCTCCTCACAAACATCCCCAGCTCTCCCCTCACCAGCTCATCA